GGTGCAGAAACCTTAAAGAAAGCATGTAATAATAATATTCCCATCGCGAGTCTATACTATATATTTTACGGTGCTCGTCAATGATATGCCACGCACCGATCACGACGATTAAAAACTATTAGGTATACGCTTTTCCTTCCCTCCGATTCATCAACCGCAAATCTTTTTGTGTTTCCGACATCTCTCTCATTTCGGCGTCGAACTTCAGTAGTTCCTCGTGTACCCATCGTCGCCGCCGCTATTCATTATGCCCAAAAATAATTTACTACCCCTATATCATAATGGGAATTCCCTTTTTAATTACAGCATCGGCCGTTCTTATGTAGGTACATTGCGTGTGACCTACAAATCGGTGTCGACCAGCTACCGAGTCGTTTGTCCGTCGTCGTGACCTACAAATAAAATAATAGTTACCTACATTTCATACGTAAATGCCTGTGTATAAATACTAAATTATATCCAAAATTCTAGGCTTATTGGAAACCCCGGCTAAACCAACCCTGTGTCGGCACAAAGAATATACAAGTTGAACATTTTTTAAATTTTTAGCCACAAGATAATTATTAAATTTTAAATTTGATACATTTTGTCAAAATTAGAAATTTATAAAAAAAATTGTCGCTATGAATTTTTAATATTTTTAACATGCTATTAGAATTTTTTTTCCGATAAAGGTGGACAAACTTATGAGAAATCTTGTATTACATTTTAAAATCTTAGATTGAAAAAGAAGAATTTCTATGAATTCTTAACTCAAAATAATTTGCTAATTTTCCTGATTTTTCTGTATTTTGTCAAGATGTGAAGTTTAAATGCTTTTAAAAAAAAATACTATGACTAAAGATTTTTAATATTTTTCAAATGTCATGGTAACAATATAGTAGGAGGCTTGTATTAAGTTTTCAAGCTTTTTTACCCCACAAATAAAGTTTTATTTATATTCTCAGAAAAAAAAAGTTTAAAAAACTAATAAAATTGGGAACTGAAAATGTTCCCAAATAGTTCAAAACGAATTGTGTATAGAAAATACTATGAATATAAACAACCAGTGAAAATGTCATGTGTATAATTGCATTTGTTTCAGAGTTACACCAAAAACCAAAATCCGTTTTGTCAAAAATGTCCTTAATTTTTATGTTGTTTTTCCAAACGCTTTTGAAAACAATTGGAAAACTTAAATGTTGTCCTCCCAAATGCACCAACTAGAATCACTTTCCCATTGAACAAGATATTGTTGAAGAATATCGAAACAGTTTTACTGCCCCAAACAGTGGTGATAAACACACAAAAAAAAATAAAACTCACATCATTATAGAATCAATATTATGTTCATTGCTTTGCTCAGATTCTAATAGGCCACTTAAAGAAAAACTGGAATTTTTTTGTCAATCAGTTTGAGACAAAATTGTTTTAATAGAAAGTGTAATAAAATGGCTTCCTCGTAGGTTGATTATTATACAATCTTATTAAAAAATAACAAAAATACCATAAAGTATCACAACATTTTTTTCTAAGCGTTTAAAATTAGAATTTTGGACCTGTTTAATATTAATCTGTTAATTTTTATATACGAGCAAATTTACCTGTAACTAAATTTAATGGAAAGGATATTTTATTTAGGGCAACATGAAGTATTTTTATTTAGGTATTTTGATTTTAAAACAAGTTATGGGCACTTAACAATTTTTAACTACCATACCTAAGTCATAACCCTGTCTAAAATTAAAATATACAAGCAAATCCTACTAAATGCCCTAAATAATATTCTTACCTGAAAATTGTATGGTATAGATCAGGGGTCTCCAAACTACGGCCCTCGAACAAGTTTTAACCGGCCCGTGGCCCACATAGGGAGCATAGGTAAATATAGATAAAAAAATTATTTCAAAAATGTATTTATATTATATTATATTAATACCTATTTATTTTTATTTTAGTATAATGTAAAGTAAATAATATTTTATACAAAAATATAAAGTAAACATATTATTTATATAGGTAGGTAGGTACCTAAAATATTATCATAAAAATTAAAAATTATATGTGTTAATAAACTTTTGGCCCGCTAAGAGCATTTGATTTTTTTTGTGGCCCTTGAATAAAAAAGTTTGGAGACCCCTGGTATAGGTACATAAATTAACTATGGATAAAAATAACAGTGTACAACTTGCAATTTTATGAGTTAGTAGGACGATGACAACGAGTGTGGTAAAATAAGAAATAAATAAATATATATTTTATAATATGCAATTTAAATCTACAATATGCTTTAAACTTGCCACAACTCCTCGAAAGTAGGTTCAAGGTGGCCCTTGTTCAAAAAAAATAATAATAATTGTTGACAAATGATTAAAAACAATATTTTTTAGGTAAGTATACTTTTTAAAATTGATCATGTAAAAGTAATGGTTGGGTATTACGTTCAGGTGAACCATCAAAATTATAAAATTCATTGAAAAAGTGTTTTTAAATTAATATTTTTACTGCATTATCACTGATTTTAATTTGTAATATAGTTATAAATATTTTTATAAATATATTTCAATCTTGGCTACAATGAAAAATTTAGTATTATCATTACAGTATTTTTAACTGTCATAATTAGAGCAAGGACTTTCATGTATTTGTATATTTTTCCTGGTAAACTTTATCGTAAGCTTATTAACTAAGTACACAATACATTTCACAACGTTTGTGATCAAACACTCAAAGTTTTTAGTGCATATTTCACATTTTTTGGTTTAAAGGAGACATTTTTGACTGTAAGAGTATATTTTAAATTTTTAGTACATATTTTAATAAATTATCAAAAATTGAGGACTTTGGTATATATTGTCAAGAATCAAGATCAACAATTAATTAATATGTATTAATTTATACATATTAAATTTGAATGAAGAATGAGATCTGTATTGGATGTATAATTGTTTTTTTTAAAATAAACATATTATAGTTACATATAAAATTGAATTATGTAAAATAATTTTAATTAATTAAAATGAATAAAATATTTTTAGTGTGTAATTTTATTTTTAACGCACATAACATAACTATTGTACAAACTTAATAAATAATAATAGTTTATAAAGAAAATATTTTTTTAAAAATGTAATACTTTAGAGTATATTTTTATTTTTTTTTTGCATATTATGTGTATATTTTATGATTTTTAAAGTATAAAAGTCATTGCTCTAAATGTATGGCTATAGCTTGCTATACTTAACAAAATAATACCACTTAGGCATTTAAGGTTAAAATGAATAATAATATGTTAAAAGTGTGGTGGAAATATTATAACATTAAAATAACAATATTATTAAAAAATACCTAGTAATACAGCACATCATATTCATGGTTGAATGGTTCTTAAAATATAAATTGTAGTTTGGAAATTTGAATAAACATTATAATGTTAATTATCATTGTTCTAATACAAATTAAATACTTAAAATTGTACAGATTAATATTATGTCTTATCTAATATTAGTAGTAGTAAAATCTTAAAAATATTACAAATATTACTGTATGAAACGATAGGACAATAAACTAATAGGTATTGATAGCACTGAAAATATTTTTATTATAATTTCAATAGTATCAAATAAATTGTATATGAGTTATAATTTATGACATTAATCATAAAATTAAAAAAAAAATTACATTTATCATATTATATTAAATTAAAAAAGTGTATCCGCATATTATTATACAACACTTCCTATCATTGAACATTAGAAATATTCAAAAATACTCAAGTCACAAATTACATATTTAAAGACTTAACTAATGTGTTTTAAATTATTTACTTGTACATTTTGGTCACCCAACAACAATACACCAGTATTTTATATAGGTATACACTATAATTAATTCTAAAAAAAAATGTTCTGAGATAATAATTATATATTACAAACTAATAAATAATAACATAGAATAAAAATCAACTGGATCCAATTTTTCTAAAAAAAAAAAACACATTTGAAACAAAAAGTAAGTAAATATTTAGTATACTATATAACAAAAATCACCAATTAATATATAATTTTGGAGGATCACTTTAGGAATTAAGGAAGTTTTTGGGGGCCACCAAAATTCAACACATTTATCTGAAGAACGTAAAGGCAAAATCAAAAAGTTAATTAAAACATAATTTAACTCACCATATTATACAATATAAATTTCCTGTTTACAGGCCAGATAAAGTGTGTTAACAAGGTGACATTTGTTGACCCCTGCTATAAAACATTAATATCTAGTGATAAATATATTGCTTTAAAATAAAGTAAAATTAAAACTTACAATCTAAATCACAAGTATAAGACTGTTAATAACTTTATTTACACTGATACTTTGTAATTTATCATTTATAAGTACTTTATATTATGTTTTATATCAATTAACCGTAAAAATAATTTATCATAGCCAATTCAAAAAAAAAATATTTGTGAAAATAATTATTATCTCTTACAGAATGATAGGATAATATTTTAATTTAAAACCTTAATAATCGGTCTTAACAAGGCTATGTTAAATTATTGAAACTCTATTAAAATATTAAATATATTTTGTAAATACAATTTAAATGTAAATTAAAGATGATCATTACAATGATTCTATTAATACCTTAACAATTAATACACAATATTGAACACGTCATATAAAAATCATAATCCAATAAAATAATATATAATAATATTAAATTAAAACTACTAAAACTTTATATTTCAGCCATAAAACTTAACACCAAACCATTTAATTAAAATCACAATTATTAATGCTATTAAATAAAATAAACTGATCTAAAAGCAAGTCATTTTTATAATAAAAACTAAAAAGTCATATTTTTACAACAAAATAAATAATAATATTAAATTCAAAACTATTATAAAATAAATAAATAACATACATCAAGTGTCAATGTTAAACAAATGCACTAAATACATAAGCTGGTAACTTTGCAAATGTATATCTCAATTAAAATCAAGAGATCAAATCAATACTTAAGATTTAACATCTAAACTACATTTCATTTCAATCATTTTATTGATGTTCTCTGCTCGTATTTTGAATTGCTCAAACATGTCTGAAGATAGTTCTTCTTTGGTGGTGTAACGACATTTATCAAAGCTGAATATATCACGCATCAATTCAATGACTTGATCCTAAGAACATGAAAAATAATATACAACTAATACAAGCTTAATAAAAAAAAAAACTGAATTTGATAGAACATACATATTTTATAATGCTTAGGTGCACTATAATAGATATAAGTAATGTGATTTAAATTAACTATAATATTAAGTTTAGTTGTAAATTACATTAGGTAATGTAATCAATTAATATTTACGTACTTTGAAAAACAAACATATTCTGCTCAGTTCTTCATCAGGACCTAAGAAGCCCCATGCAAGTAAAGGTGACATTTGTTCAGATATGTTGTAAAAATGATGCATAAAACCATTTGGGTACTTCAATTTACTACGCTTGGCACGGAGGACTGACCATACTGCAGTTGATAAAGCCTAAGACAGACCCAAATACAGTTAATACTACATAGAAAAATCCTTAGATCATATACAATGGATATAGCCATCACCCATTACTAATAAAGGTATAAAGAGTTGAAGCCAATATAACAGTAGAATTTATTATTTCACAGCATGTGAGAATGTGTAACACATTCTTACCAATAGGTATGTTTTAACAGTTAAGAGGACGCCACACCGATATTTGTTGTCTCCGTCTTACAAGTGCATGACTAGCAAATTACGCTCAGCAGATCACGATTAGCTCCATTAGTTTAAAAATTAGAGTGAATCGACCTATTATAAAACTTGATGTTAAGAACATTATCTGTGTTTGTATGTGGGTTTTTTACGATAGTTCAATTTTTTAGCAGGTTATACGTGTTTAATAAATCGTAAATTAAAAATACTCATAACTCTTCTAAAAACGGAGTTATCATAAAAAAACCAACATATGAACACAGATAATGTTCTTACCATCAAGTTTCATAATAGGTCGATTAACTCTAATTTTAAAAAACTAACGGAGCTAAACGTGATCTGCTGAGAGTAAATTTGCTGTGTTAAGCACTTGTAATACGGAAACAACAAATATCTGTTTGGCGTCCTCTTAATCTAGCAACAGTTGATTTGTTATTGCAAAATGTATAATATAATACTCAAAAATGTTTAAGTACAATAATAAATATTATTATAAATATTACATATCCAGTAATCCTATACTGTCATTTGTATGATTATAATATTATAATATTTTTTTATTTTGCCATTGCAATTTAATATGTTTACTAAAATATAAAATTACCAATACTTATTTAAAGGATATTAGTTAACCCGTGCTATTCACAGTTGTTATGTTTTTGTATTAAAAGAATATCAGCACACCATTTGTTTTCTCTCTCTGACACACGTGAAACATACAAAATTTGTTCATCAGAACCAACCATGACGTGTTCTTACTTTTAAATTTTAATATTGGTTAATTAATATTAAAATATAATAATTCACCTACTATCAAACTTTAAGCTTAGAATATTATCTATGTCAATATGTTGGCTATTTTACAATATTTTAATTTTTGTACATTTTATAAGAATTTTGAAATTGTAATAATTTACATTATCATAGCTTACATAAAAATTATAATATCATAAAATACAAAACGTAGGGACACAGGTAATTTTCTTAACTTTAAGTTTAATAATAGGGTGAATTCACTCTAACATGAAAAGGTACAACACAGACTTGGTTCTGTTAAACTTAAATTTTTTATGTTACACATGGGTCAGAGGGAAAACAAATAGTGCGCTGACAACCTCTTAATTAAGAATAGACAAATATTAGATATTTTTTAAGGTAACCCAGGCAAAAATAAAATTTGTTAACCATTGCACTCCACCATTACACAGCCATAAATACTATACTCTATTCCAAATGAATTTGGAAAAAATCAAGAAAGACATATCGACGGATAACAGGCAAACGGTCGTATCCAACACTTTGGAAGTATCCGCCATAGCAATATATTAATAAGGAGCAAAAAAAAATACATCGAATGAGCCCACTCTAGTGGTTCTAGCTACAACCATCCCTAAGTTATTCAAATACTTCTTTTAGCCGTATCCACATTTTCTGGATGCCGTATCCGATTTTTTGACAATTTAATTAAAAGGTATAAAATAAATCAGACGTATGCACCATTGTATGAACTTATCAGCCATTTCTGAATAATACCAATGGGTGTATAAACCAAATTGGCGGATACGTCTATTTGAATTATTAACGATAAGGCATATTTTGCGATAAAAAACAATAGATGGTTTATTTATAAGTGCGAGGGAAATTACTATTGTTACATTATAACAAAATGTTAGTTATCACAATAATAGATTATTATGGAGTGTCTACTAAAAAATGAATATCAATCGATGAGCAGCGTTATTATTTTCGTCAAGATAACGTATACGGTATACACAATAGTTATCACTTATCACGGCAAGTCTAATAAAACATTAGCGTTTATAATTTTTGCCAAGTAAACGCCGTTTACCTACTGTAAGTATCTTTGTTATTAATTGTATAGTTAAGTTACATAATAGAGGTCATACGATTAACTTGCATTAACTTTCTTTTTGATATGATAACAATTATTATTAATTAATACCTAATTATCATGTTGTACACTTTAAATTTCAAATCGTACTGCAAATATTAAATAATTGTTAAGCCCATTTACTTTATTATAGAGGGATTGATTAGTGTATAATTATATTATTTACATACATTTTAATTGTCTATTTTAAATATTATTATTTTAAGTTATAGATTCTGAGCGGAGGAATGAATGTATATTTTTTTACTTAAATAAATTTTATTATTTTTATTTATTATAAAATTTTCTATTGTTTTAGTTTTTTTTTTTTATAATGGGCGATAAAAATTGTTTGCTCGATCAAAAAGCTTAAAATTGTAAAACAAGGTTCCTCATAAGCTGTTTTAACCGGAATTTAAAAAAAACATTCAGTGAGAATTCACGATAATTTTTTATTATTGCATGAAGTACGAATTTTGACAAATTTTGTCAAAATAATGATTATTTACAAATTTTGTAAAAGTGGGGTAATACCCAATAAATATAATAAAGAGTACATTGACATGTAGCCACAAAAATAAATACCAGACATTCTGAATAAAACTGACGAGGAAGATGAAAATGTCAATGTTTAAAAAAATGTCAGTTATATAATATTTTTGAACTCATATATCTAGAAGTTATATTGGTATAATATATTTTTTTATATAAGGTTATAATGAAGTATTATACAATTTTTGTTTATATTTTATTATTTTACAAGAGAAATTTTTTTTGTTTTAATTTGATTCTTAAAATTGTCATTAAAATGGTTTACTTAAAATTATAATATAATTTTTTTTAGTTTTTAAGACTGTAAATGTTACTCTTCTCAAATAAAAAAAAAGATTTTTTTAAGTTTACAAAATGTTAAAAAATTTGATTAGGTATGTGTTTTAATTTATTTTCATAATAATATTATTATACTAAGTTAAATTAATATTTATAATATGATATAATATTAAAACATGATTATACATCAAGTATTAAAAAAATTAATTTATAAATATTTTATTCAATTTATATAAATAGAAAAACGTATTCTTTTCAGAAACTATTATTTTGTTTTTATATTATGTTTATAGATACAACTGTGTAAGTACGTTTTATTATAACATTATTATTACAAAAAAAAAAAAGAAGTATCGACCATAAATGAATTTGTGAAAATAAATGTAAACACGAAAAACGTATCTACCAAAATCCAGGTAATATAAAAAGTAGACGTATCCGCCATTGTACTAATAGTTTTTGAACCAATTGGTTGTTTTTAAGTTAAAGTTTATAAATATATCACGATAACATTGGTTTATTGTAAACTTAAGTTTAAACCTCATAGTTTAAGATTTACTATTACTATTGGATATAATATTCAGAAGGAAAAATGTATTTTTTCGATCTCCTGAAAAGTTGTGTTTATGGCGGATACGGAATGTTAGCCGTCGATATCACGTTCGTGTATGTGCAGTCTTGTTGACTGCCATTGGTGCGCAGCAGATTATTGGCCAATTACATCGGTCTCACCATTCTGGGGCTGGGCTGTTTTTCCAAACCTTTTTTTGAATAGAGTATAGTTCAGTATGCGTGTATTTCCGTGCCCTGAGATAAACACTTAAGATATGTATTATTATTTTAAACAATATAACTGATTTGTGCAACAAAAAATAATTATACTTTACTTTATCTAAATTAAAAATGTTCAATGTTTATTATTAAGAGTAGTACATTTCACAATGTTAAAAACAGAAAACCTGATGCACATGTGACTTTGGCAATGTTTTTCAACTGTCAGATTATTAATTTGAAGTTTTATATGAAGTTTCCATTCATTAACAAAAACTTAAAACAGCGGCAACGCTATGTTTCAAGGCATTCACATATAAAAGTAGTTTACAGTATATATTATCGCATGTAATCAATAACAATATAAAAAAGTTTCTTTTAGAACCATCTATTGCACGTTAACTGCTCTTTTAAACTTCCTGGTACCTCTAAGAATAATCTTTGAATTGGTAGAGTAGTTTTTGAGTATAAACTAAAACCATACATCAACATAATACTCTCTTATATATATATAAATATAACTAGATGGTAATTATTTATTTATTGTTGTCCTACTGATGTTTAATTTTTAATTGTATTACTTTATTGCAGCGTTTCATAAATAATTTATCAATTTAAATGCTTAGTATTTATTGTTTATGCACATTATGTAATATTTTTTACTTCATGGTTTATTTGTTGTTTTTAAACAGTTATCTGACTTGAAATTTAAACTAGATATTAAATATGTTTTAGATATTGGTGGCCAAATAAACATGATAAATGAGCGCGAGCATGCCTAACCAGTGTTTTAGTTTTGTTGGCTTCATAAATAGTTCGAGTAACACATCCATTGTATAATATGATCTAAGGATGAATCGAATATATAAATTTCAATATTACAGTTTCTTTAAATCCTTTTGATAGCCAACGATTTTGTATTACGGCAATCACCGATGTTGGAGGCGCTTCAAGGTCTTCAAATGCATCCATCAAAATGTAGTCCATAACAATATCATAAAATGTCATTTTTTTTACACCCCTGGTTGACAGTTCAATTTCAGCCTCTGTCCAGTGTGCATCAGTTTTTGCCCAGCTCAACATCTCCTCATAAGCTAAAAGAAAATCCTTGGGGTCCTACAATAAAATAAAATTACATTTTTATTAGCTAATAAATTCAAAACCAAACTAAATAATATGACAAAAAAATATTACTTTCTCGGCAAATAAAAATATATCAGTTAATATACGTCTCCCGCAATCAGCAAACCACATTGAGTTTTTTTCATTCTTGAATACATTTTCAAAAGCTTGTCGAATACAGTGCAATTTACAAACATATTCTCTGTCTGAAGCACAATTCACCAATGTTGTTCGATAAGTTCTAAAACAAATTAAAAATGTGTTATATCATATTATAATACTACATTCAAATGACAAATGGTTACCGATAAATTTAACTACAATAAAATTAACAAACACTAGGTACCTGCATGCTATGCCCTCAATTTCAGAGTATCTTAAAGCATTTTGATATAAATAATAGTTGTCAAAATTTAATTCTTCAAATTCTCTTAAATTTGCAACCTAAAACATCATACAAAATATTTACTGTGATATTTAAAAGAAATAATGATTAATAAACACAGTAAAACATTCAGGCCAAATTTAAGATTGCTTACAGTAAGTTATCAACATAAGCAAAAATCCATAACAGTTATCATCAGGTAACTTAGTGTAATAACATAGTGAGATTTTACAATAAACTATCCGTACATGATTGATTTTACAATTGTCCTATTTTAAGAAACATTGAAGTATTTATATGACACATGATGAATTTTTAAAAAGTTTAATGTTTATTTAAATAATGTTATATCAGTGGCATGTTTTAAACTCAACCTAGGGAGGAGTGTACATTTAAGAAGTATAATTTACTTAAAAATATGCCAAAGGGCTATACATTCCTCTCTCCTACACACAAGTTGATAGTCATTTTTTTAATAAAAGATTTATCTATTAGTAATTTAATATTAAATCCTTATAAAAATCAAAAAAGTATTTAGAAATATGTAAAAATTACAAGAATTAAAATTTTTTTAAAGTAATAATAGTAATGATCTATTTCTTTCAAATTTGCAAATTATTACCACATATTATAAAACTGCTAAAACACTTTTAAATCTATGGGTAATTGTGTTTTTACATGACAAATAACATATGGTAAATAAAATAACATCAAACTATCAATTATCTATAGATTTCAAACTGTTGTAGCCACAGGTATACAATGTGTTAACTATATGGCTGTCTTCATTTTATTATTGAGGCATACAATTTGTTACCAAATTGTTGGTTGTTTAATGCAATAGACCTTTTACTCATAGACTTTCCAATCCTATAAGAAATACTATTTTTATTTTTTAATACTGACAATAAAAATTTTTAAATTTAACTAAAATTTGTTTGAATAAATTCACAATAGCCAATTTATGAATCTGATTATAAGAACAATTTAGATGGTAAAAACATTTATCTAAGTCGATTAGTTTATTTTTTAGAATTTTATTTAATGATTTATAAATGTATGACTCAAAAATAATTTAAAACAAATTAAATAACTTATTATTATAATTATTGGTATCTACTTAATAAACAAAAAATTATGTTATGTATATTATATATTATTAAAATGAATAAAGTGCCTACAAAAGGTCAAAAGGTATCATTCAATTTTATGTTTGACAAAATGTTATTTAATACCTTTTTTTTTTTAATTTTTGCTTCAATATGCTTTACATTTTCAATTTTGAGAAATATGAAATAACCATTAAATATACAGTAATATACAAAAAAAAAATCACTATTTTCTTTAAACTATTAGAGTTAATAATAATTAATATTGCTGACAAATATCCAAAAAAAAAAAAAATGAAAAATGATGCAATTGCATTAAACTCCGAGTTCTATGTATGATATATACGAATCTAGGTCTAGTATTAGAAAGCCATGTGTTATAAGGTCGAATATTATAATATTAAGTGTCATAAAAATCATATGTTGTAAAATGTATTTCTCATAAAAATCATATGTTATAAAAGTTATGTATTATAAAAATTACAGTAGATATTAAAAAATTGAATTAACTATATATGCTATATACGCTTCTCATGAATGGATGGAGTGATGGTCAAACTTAATTCCATTTTCATTAAATTATACAAAAACTTTAAAAAATAACTTTTTGTAGACTGAGTGACTATTTGTTTTCGTAGACTGAGTTACTAATGACAAACTATATTCTTAAATGCCTCATGCACGATATAATTGTGCATCCCCACACCGCCCCGATAACAAATAAAGATAACATTAAGCTAAAACGATTAAACGATAAGGAACATTATTGGTCTTTATAGTTAAATAATAACTAATAGGTATGTAGGTACTCTAATAAGCCAAAATAATAGGTATGGAAAATAAATATAATATTATAACACATGATTTTTATGAGAAATCTGTTTTATAACACATGACTCTTATGAGACATAAATTTATAACACTTGACTTTCTAACACATGATTTTCGAACACTTGACATAGTACCGATATATACAGTTATCCAAAAATTTATCTAGATAATTATTCGAATGATTTTTTTTACAATTATTTGAATAATTTCAAAAAAAAATATTCGAATAATTTTCAAACATAATAGTACTATATTATAGTACTATTATATTATTATTTATATTACCATATTAATTACTATAGTAAATAGTCCAGTTTTATTCTATCATTTATGATTTTTGTAATTGTTACAAAATATTACTTATTTTAATTAACTCACACACAATCGGGCAATTAGATAAATAATGTAAGGATATATACAATGTTTAGTACTTATATAATAATTACAGAAGTTAATTGGAATTCAAATGGACACAGATAAAAAAGAATTATAAATAGATATATACATAATATATATAAAAATAAATTATTTTTTACTCCAATAATCATAGTTGAAAATTATCCTAATAAAATGTTATCTAAATAAATAATCATCTAAATAAAATTGAATTCAAATAACGCCCTACTCTGCTATAAAGACAATGACGTCCCTATAGTTTTTAGTGTAAACAATTATTTAAAAAAAATACATTTTTTATTATTTAAACGATAAGTAAACACTGCCCAAATTGTATACAGCTAAAAAGCATTGTTAACATTTTAACAGTAACATAGTCGGCTATCTAGTAATAAAATATGTCTGTCGGTATACCGTATAGCATAATAAAGTGTTATTGTATAACATTTTTGTAAACGTGTAAATAATGAACATACCACAGTTTATAGTACAAAGATTACTATAACTTACCGTTCATATAACCTAAACTATAGTTTGAGTTATTTTATTTATCAGTAAAAATACAAGTATCCATGGGAGCTAAAACCGTTTTAACGCTATCATATAAATATAATACATATAAATCATGGATTCAGATAGAATGGACTCGAAACAAGAGCCAAATCACCAGGCCACTTAAGGTTTAATATAGGGCTGTAAATAGGGAGGGGGGGCAATCAAGTAGTCGACAAGTATGCATTGAGCACTACCTATATTCATCATATTAACTAGTTGTATATAATATAGGTAGCACTCGATATGGGCTTGTTGATTTCCTCCAATCACCATCCTACTATAAACCAACAATATTATGTTGTCTCCATCTTACACACGATCGGCATTGCAAAAACGTGTTGGTACGAGAAAAAACTGAGAAGGCTACAGTCGTAACTAAGAAACAAAATTTTCAATACGTATAAAGAAGAACTTTGGCTGTGTAATATATATCATTTTTATTTTTTTGATATCACTTATACGAAAAAAAAAAAAAAGTTTTATTGTTTCAAATCCATTATTATTTGTGTTTATCAAACATAAATAACTTTTTTTGAAATTCCGATAACGTTTCTTGGATATGACTGTAACATTCTTGGTTCTTTCTCGCTCAAAATAGTTTTTCTATGTTGTACATTTGTAAGACGGAGAGACACATGCGGGTGCAACATCTTCTTAAGCATCCCAGTTCACCATCACTGGCTGTTCATTTCCAGTCCATTCTATCTTAATCCATGATGTAAACATAGTAAAAGATTTCTTAGATATCCACTTCAATATATCAATGTATATTTAATAAGGCCGAACCACTTATCAATATTTTTTAGTCTATATTATATACTTTATAACAACAAACTATCGATACATATGATGCCCAAGCCCAAAGGATAAGAAATTGTTTATAAAAACATTAAGAAGGGATATTTAACAAATTATATTCATCCTTATATACAGTAAAAAGTTTTAGAATAAATTTGTATGTCATTATAATAAAATAAAAAAAAGGATTTAAAAATTGAAAATTATAAGAGTAATAACTTTTGGCTAGTGAACTACTGGTATATATTTAATTTGTTACGTAATTTGAATTTTATGTTCAATAAATTATGTTACATGGGAATAAGTATTGTGCAAATGGTTAATCCCCGTGTGGCGATACCATATCAAAAAAAAGTATTAATTTTTATCTTGGCTTAAATTTAAAAATATATATATATAAAAATTGAGGCTCTTGATACAAGATACATAGCTTACATCTGTGCGTGCCGAAACAAAACTATCTACTGACGAACGACGATCATCAAACTTCAATGTTTCACCATTTCCATTTTGTTGAACACGAAATAATACTGACCTCTAAATTAATAAAAAAAATATAATATAGTTATCTGCAACTTAAATAAGTTATATAAGTACAAATATTAAATCCTTACTTGATCTAAAAAAAGTAATTGACACTGATCTTGCAATGAATAAGCAGAATCCACTAACAGTTGAAGTTCTTTACAAAATTGAGAATCTTCAGTGGACATAAGTTTATTGGATACCATTGTTGAATTATTGCCAGAAAATGCTGTCAATGCATCTTCCCAAAACGATATACTGCATGCTAAAGATTCCATTCCTTAGAAAAAAAACCATAATCATAATTTGAGTACAAATAATTAAGAGGATACCCCACCCACATGTGTTGTCATTGTCTTACAGTGTGTAACATAGCAAATTTACGTTCAGCAGATCAACTGAGCTAGCTCCGTTAGCTTAAACATTAGAGTGAATCAACCTATAATGAAACTTAATGGTAAGAACATTATCTGTGTTTGTGTATTGGTTTATTACCATTATTCAGTTTTTAAGTGAGTTATGAGCATTTATAATTTACGCTATATTATTTATGCATAACTTGCTAAATGTTTCAACTATCGTAAAAACAACATACAAACACATATTATGTTCTAACAATCAAGTTTCATAATAGAATGATTCACCATAATTGTTAAACTAACGAAGCTAAATATGATCTTCTGAACATAAATTTGCTATGTTACGCACTTGTAAGACAGATACAACACTTGCGGGTGTGGTGTCTTGTTAAACCAGACCAACTAAACTATTAAGACATTACTTACCCATTACACCTAGTTGTTGAGGTGCAGTATACTTAACTTCTGAGGATTTACAATGACTTGGAGAATCTTGAGTTGAAGATATCACAGATGTTTGCCGATTAGTGGATTTGATGCTTGGACTTAGTGATCTATGGCTAGTTCTAAAAATTCGAAAACTAGATACTGAAACATAAAACATAAAAATAATATGTAATTATTTGTTTGAATAAACATTTTAATTTACCTGAAGGTACATCAACATTAGCTTTTCTCTTGTCGTAGGAATAATGTTTTATAACTGGTGCAGATTCTCGAGAATACTTTCTTCGTTTCCAATAGTTTCCTAATACCACTATTAATGTAGTACTTATAACTAATCCCATGGATATGGAAACACGGAAACCCTGTAATAGAAATAAGACTTTAATATATTTAATTTCTTCATTTAATTTTCTTAACATGTTAAGAAGATAAGAGCTTTATTCAAAGTAGATTTTTCTTTAATAAGTAATAAAGTTAAACATAAATCAAGTATTTTTGATAATTTTTGTACACTAAACATGTCATCAATTCTATTATTATTACAATTTATAGATGAGTTAATATTTAGAAGCATATTATAGGTACACATTATAGTATAATATACATTTTTAAGGGATAATTGAGTGTATTATTTTTAAATTTGTATTTATTCTTCAAGAAAGTAATGGGCCCTACTTAACATGTTCAGTATAATTTTATGATCTTAAAAATAAATCTATATAGATACTAATTAAAAAACTAAATATTGAATGTATCAAAGGTTAACAACAATACTATTTTATTTGGTCAATATTAATATAAAACAAAAGTATTTGTTTCACGGTTTGTTTGTAAAGTTTCATCAAAATCGTTATTCAACTCTTTGTAGAATAAAAAAAAAATGTATTAATTATTCAAAAACTATATAGGTATAACAAAAAAAAAGGTGCTTTGCTGTAGATTACAAGTGGGTCACCGTATAATGGATAGTATTAAATTTGAATTCAATTAGATAACATCATTGTATGAGAAAAACGATTCTGAGAGGAGACGATATGTCAGTCTAGGTTTTAGACATATTATATAGGTATATATCAATGGTAATACAAAAAAAATATGCACAGTCTTATCATAGAGCATACTTCTTATTCATTATACTATGGTAGATTGTATGGATAGGCCATAATATTTTGATTTTTTGATTTTTCAGTTTCATATATCCCCGATAATATTTTTAAATTACAACAAAAAACTAAAATCGTTATTATTGATTTTAATATGTAATTTCGTAAAAATTTGAACTTAAAATGACTATGAAAATAAACTGTGCTTGTGTATTTTTTAGATTTTTGGTAACAGAAGTAACAACTTACGTGGAATCTTGTTTTAAATTTTCAATCCTTAGATATAAAAGTTGAATATTTTATACATTTTTAACTACAAAATAATTATTAAATTTTAAATTTGATAAATTTTGTCAAAATTCGATCTATAAATGCTTATAAAAAAAAATTGTGCCTATGTATTTTTAATATTTTTCAATTACTATTGTAACAATATATCAGGAGCCTTGCATTAAATTTTTACACTTTTTGGCCCAACAGATAAAACTTAATTGATATTTATAGAAAAAAAAACTAAAAAAATTGGAAACTGAAAATGTCCGTAAACAGCTCAAAAAGAGTCAAAATATTTTCAAAATTGTACAGTGTATAGGAAATGCTAATATGAAAATTCAGTGAAATTTCCATGTATCTACAGTTATTCGTTATTGAATTACAACAAAAGAAGGAAATCGCTACATGAGAAATCGAGTGAATATCCAAAGTTGTAAAAATTTGAATTTCAAACGCTCATAAAAATTTAATTTGACTCTCCGGTAGACATTTTTTTATTGATAAAGGTAGACAAACTTATGTGTAATCTTGTATTAAATTTTCAAATCTTAGATTTAAAAAGAAACATTTTTAAGAATTCTTAACTCAAAATAATTTGCTAATTTTCGTGATTTTTCCATATTTTGCCCATTTTTGAACTTTTAAATGCTTGTAAAAAAAAACTGTGACTAAAGATTTTTAATATTTTTCATCTGCCTTTGAAACAATATACTAGGAGCCTTCTATTAAATTTTTAAGCTTTATTAACCAACAAATAACATTTTGGGAAAATAAACAGTCTCTAAACAGTTCAAAATAAATCAAAATATTTTGAAAATATTATCGTGTATAGAAAATGCAAATATAAACAACCAGTGAAAATTTCATGTATTGTGCTACGGTCATTTGTTTAAGAGTTATAGGTACCAAAAACCAAATTTGATTTTGAGTAAAAATTTCAGTTTTTCCTTAATTTTTCATTTGTTTTTCTTTTGAAAATTACGGGGAATTTTAAATTTTGACCTCCCCAATGCACCAACAATATTCACTTTTCAATCGAGCAAGATACTGAAGTTCAAAATCTAAGCATTTTTTTCGACTACTTATCGTGTATACTGTACACAGACACAAATAAAATAAAAAATTAAAAAATTAATAAAAAATTAAAAAAAACACACATCATTGAAAAATCAATACATTCATCGTTCCTCTCAGAATCTAAAGCCTCGCAAATAACACTATGATACATAAGCTATCCTATCAAGGTACAAGCATTATAAGGAATTTATTTTAACATTACTTACAGGAATAAAAAAACAACAAAAATTATACATTTATAATTCTAACCAACTTATCTATTTAATAATTATTATTTATGCATATCTAACTATTAAAAATTGATAGGTAGGTATACAAAAAAAAAAAAAGCAAACTATATTGTAAGCCATAAAAGGATTGGAAACTTATTTTGGCAGATCAATTCTTTTATTGGCTACTTAACAAATATTTGTAAATGTAGGTACCTATCTGTTCCATTTAATGTGTGTCCAACTGATATTGATTATTTCAATAAAAATATAAAACATATTGTTTGTCATACCAAACTATTAATAAAATAAAGACATTATTTAGGTACCATTTATAAATTGAATAATTTTGATATAAAAATATGTACCTAAATTAAAAAAGTGTCACTTACAACAGCTACTTTAGATACCTAACTTAATTATTTATGAACTAATTACTATGTAAAACATTTCTAATATTTGTATTATATATTGTTATACTAATTTAAGTACCTATTTAAGTAGGTATAACATTTAAATGTTGGGTACCTCCTAGGTAATAAAATGTAAGGTGTCATAACTATATTATATATATATCAGGTATAAACATAATTTGAAATACAAAAAAAGTTACCAAATCCAAAACCTACTGACTTCGGTTTTATAGTATACTTAGATACTAAGGTACCTACACCTACTTTATTTTGGTAGAAATATAAAAAAAATCTATTCATATATATTGTTAGAAAAAAGAATAGGTAATAATTTAAAATATTATGGTATAGTCTATTCAGAATAAGAGCACACCAGATTTACGAAGCATAACCGGTTTTGACCGTGGCCGCCTGGTGTTGTCTCATTCTGAATAGAGTATATTAGTACCTACCTATCAAAATATAATATCATCAATAGTTAATGTTGGGTAGAACAAATAGCTGTAGCTTGAAGAAATGCAATTACCTAATGTATTCGATATTGGTAGCTGTTATCAAAATAATCACATAAATTAATAACACTAGAAAAATACTGGCCAATTGGTAGGCATAACATGAATTATTATAGTTTTTTAAATTATACTTATAATACCTACCTAGATTAATTAATAAATTACAATAGTAACAAATATAAAAAAACACAGTGATATAGTGATAAGAATTTACATGAAATAAAAATATTGCAAACAAATAGTTGTTATGAAATCAACAATACCTACTACCTAAGTACTATAACTATTAAATTGATTTGTGTATAATATAGGTGCGCAATCAAAATTGCGATATAAAAATTGTCCACAAGTAGGTATTATGGGTGTAAACAAACGGTAAAAGTGAGGTTTTCTTATTTTTCACCGACTACAAATACCTAATGTACTTAAGTAGATTTTTTAATTCAAAATACTGGTGAATTTGTTTCAGTCAAACGAATAAAATAGTAAATATCGTTACACGGCACCTAACGTAATAACACAGATAATAGTTGTATACGAGTCAAGTGCCGCTGTTCTGAAAATGAAAAATAACGTAACGAACGTGTGTATAAAAGTTCGAGATACGACTGACTTACATGTTCCGAGATGTGCTTTCTCAAGATCCCCGTGAGTTTGGTCAACGGGTACAGGACCAGAGCAGATTTTTTGCCCATAGTTCGGAGTCCGACGGATTACAAATGGCGCACGACGACGTTTTGCACATGATTTAATACGGAAACACGAAACATATTAATGAAAACAAGGTACAATATCGACCGTTGTGTACGTCAAAACCCTAAACAAAATAACGATAATATCGTTAGGTCGACGGAAAAATTTAACGACGACCGCCGATCGCAGTGTGAGGACGTCGTGCCGTCTCTCGTTGCGCCGTAGCGGTATGTGGCTCTCACTCGCACGCGCTGCGACATAAACGAACCGAGTGGGTTATCACGTCTTATCACGGTCGCGGGAATGCGGATAAGCGATAACGCCGCTAATCACAACTCCGGTAACCGCGGCGGTGGTGCTGGACGTACGATAACAGTCGTCGAATTGTGATAACGTTTCGAGACGTCCGCCGTCCGCGATAGAACAATACAATATTACAGACTACAGAGACGGACGACCACGACCGGATTATAAATTTCAAATTTAGCTCCGTTCCGACTTTGAATATTTTCGAATCGTGATATTTGTGATCGCCTTAGTTAGTGGTTACTCGGTTAGTGCATTCAAATTTTCACTTTGCATCTAGGTACATATAGTTAATTTATCAGTGGTGTGAGATGTGTATTGTGTGCAACGATCCGACCGGACTGTGCTAACGTCTTGTAAACAGAGAAAACGGTACCCACCACTATTGACATTATTAATATAACGGGCAGAGCCCAATTATAGTCCAGTATAACGAAAAATAATACATATAATATAGAACCTATGTTACCTTGGTAGTAGTGATTATACTGTGTGCATTAAGCAGAATGTTGGTTTGTAGACGTATTGGCTGTGCGTATTAGTCGTGAATGTGGCAACGGTCAACAACTGGTGGACCACAGAAGACAGGAAACTAGTATGTCAACATATCTTACAATTATTTTTGTTTTCACATTGCTATTATAAAAATATAACAATGTTACAAAGAGTTTTTTTCTCTGGACCTCATTTATATATTATTTCAATCGTCCAGACTCCAATAGAAATAACACATGATATTTAGTGCAAAACCGGCGAACGAAAGAAAATGCCTTTGAACTTTCTCTGGAATAGTCACAATTATCAGTTTATGAAACCAACCATACATGAGTATGAGACGAACAAGAGAGCGGTACAGGGCTTAGGGAGAATAAAGTCTGAACTGAGATGCAACACGTTTAAGAAACCCTAACATTTTAATAGTTTTACAACTAATCAACCAAATATGAAAACGATACTTGAGGTTAATAGTTAGAAGTATACACCTAGGTCTTTTTTGAGAATAGATGAAATAATAGAACTATTTATTGCATAATTTTGAGTGAGTGATGATCTAGCAAAAAACATTGATTGATATTTAACAACATTAATTATATTATTTAGAAACGTTCTATGTATCCCAAGACGATTTCATTAAATCCATGACAAATAAGATAGGTATGTCAGCAATATCCGAATTTACTGCAGAGTTCGCGCAAATATGGCCGCCGGCTTTCGCCTATTATCACTAGAAATTATTATCATTATTTACATTTTAAAGTTACCTAGTACTATCACTACTATCTTATTTGTCACATAGATATTAAAGAATATTTAAGAATTTCTTTAATATCTATGATTTGTCATGGTGATATCTTTAAACTCTGATAATAGGCGAAAGCCGGACGCCATTTTTATTAAAATATGCGTATCACGACTATTGCTGACATACCTATCTTATTTGTCATGGACATACCTATCTTATTTGTCATGATTAAATCATTAATTAAGTAAGTTAATTAATTGATTAATTTTAAAAGTGATTTCTATACTTTTTTTATTTGGAAACAATTTTAACACAATTTGTAACAGGTAACAAGGTCCCATTGTTATGTTACTATCCAATATTGGTTTGTTATATGTTTCATCACCGGATACATTTACGAGAAAACATTACCAAACATAGTAGAAAATGAAACACGCTAATACCTCTCGTATGACAGTTGCTCCAATTCCAATCCCTAAATTTAATGATGACTTATCGTGTCATTGAACCCATAACAATGTTGTCTTTAAACTATAATACTGCACAGCCTCGAGCAATCTCTGTACTCTATACATGTGTGAGCACTGGAAGCAATAGACATTGCAATGCATCATCAAGAGAATGCTTCACACTCACAGAACTAAAAAATAAAAACGATGTTACACAGTAAATTTTCTCCTCTTTATAGTTTATAGTGTGAAAATTTGGTGGCTTAGCTTGGACTACAGCCTGTGTGGTTCTTACCCGCGCAAAACAGTTTTTGCAATGGTTTACATTTGTAAGAAGGAGACAACACATAGTAGGTCTTATTCCGCAACCAAAACTAGGATACAATAAATGTATCTTAGGCCTGGAAAAGCTTTAGGATACAATTCTTGTTAATATTATTGAACAGAAACTGGATAATGAAACTAAATAAGCATATAGGAAACAACCAGTAAGGCCACTACCCAACCAGCACAACTAAAATAAAATAAATTATTTAATAATACCAATGTAAATGTTTAGAAAGAGTTGATGAAACAAAACCAAAGGATTAAATTAAATCTGGTAATGGAAAAGGGGAATTTGGTCAATATTGTGGGATGGTCACTGAAGTGGCATCAACAACACTAACAATTATATTTATTATTTAAATTATAATATCATGTATTATTTAATATTGAGAAACAAAATCATATTATGATATTTCATTGTACACAATTTTTAAATATAAATCAGGCTCAACGTTATGAAAAAAATTAAGAATTACAATAATGATTATAATCTAATTAAACATTTTAAATCATTACTTTTCCAACTGCAATATTTTCAGAAGCTTAAGAGGACATGATACCCGCATGTGTTGTCTTCAACTTACAGGCGCTTAACATAGAAAAATTTAACATGCGGGTATCATGTCCTCTTAAAAAACTAATTAAAATTAATAAAAATGAATTTGTTTATATATATATAATATATATATATTATATATATATATAATATATATTATATATATATATTATATATTATATATATTATAAATATGCATTTTTTTGGGCCGCAAATAATTTAAAATACTGAACTTCAATGTATTATAATTGTATAATAAATCTGTTGTAGCTATTATATTTGGAACCAGTATTTTAAAAATAAAAAATAAAAAATATTTTGTATTAAACTTAATATCTAGCAGTTAAAGATACATTTTAACTTTTGTATGTTGTACTATATAAATAATTAATGGTTGGCAACCGGCAGCCTGCGAGACAATTCAATACGTCCATTATTTTTTTTAAATAAGACTCAAAGATTTGAAATTTTTGTTGAGAAACTTTTAATTTTTAATGCGGCCCCAAAGTCCACTAAGGTTGCCAACCACTGCTATATATAATTGTATATTAGTAAATACACTATTTATAGTACCTAATGTTCTATGATTTTCATCAAAAATAATAAAATATAAATTAAAATTAATAATAAGATAAGACAATTTATATTATTCAATTGTATAGTAATAACTATTTCCATTTACGAAAATTCTTTTAGCTGAAACAAAATAAATCAGACTTTATTAAAATATGCATTAGAATAAAATATTGTTATGATCATCGATATGTTATCATAATGAAAATCATTCAAAGATTGGTTTACAGTTCATAACTGTAAATATTTGTACTGCACTTTTGCTAATTATGAGTCAGAAACATTTTATTTTTCACGATCATACTTGTACAATGATTTAAGTTGGGTCTATAATGTGTTCAAGAGCTGGGTCAATGGGTCATGGATATATAAACATTTAAATGATACATAGTATGCACAAAAATGTGTTTAAAATGGTGATTTATCCAAATATAATATTTGATAAGTATAAAAAAGAACATACGCCAAATTAGCCATTTTAAATTTAATTATTTGAATAAAACTGTTTACAATATATTTTATTTATTGTTTCTTCAATATACATATTATAGAAATTAATATAATATTTAATTTGTTAAAATTATTTCAGGGTACTGATTTATTATATTCAATAATATTGTTGCTTCTTTTTTTAGCTAAAAATGTACCTAAAAACCTACCTAACTTAAACATTTTTTTTTTTTTTTATGGCTTTACATACAACAAAAATTACAAAGATTTACATAATTATAAGCTATGGCAGTGTTTCCTAACCTTTTTGTTATGGCAACCCAAAAATGTAATCTATGTTTGGTACTCTCCCATGCTAAAAAAAAAAAAAAGGGGGCATAGTTTAAAAATTAGAGTGAAACTTAATGAAAAGAGCATTAAAATATTTTTATACACCCAAAAGTTACTAAAAAATTTAACTATTGTAAAAAACCAAAATATAAAAAAGATAATGTTCTTAACATTAAGCTTCATAATAGGTTTTGATTCACTTAAATTTTTAAACGTAAAGTTTAGCTTCTACTTTACGTTTAATATAAATTTAGTACCTATGTTACTCACTTGTGAGACAAAAAAAAAATGTATATAATGATGATAAAATTATCATGATAAAATCCATATTCAAAATAAAATAATACAAAAGTTGGTGGTTACTAAAAATATAATTATATCTATTGTAAGATCTATGTCCTACAATAGTAGTTATAGAATAAAGGAACTTTACATTTTTATTATACGTAGAGCCGTAAGGATATCAAATACAATTTAACATAAGAATTTTTAATAATATTTTAAAACCCATTGGGGTTGGGAAACACTGAGGATGGCCGAACCATATTTTAATGATTTTCAGTTAATAATACAACTTAGAAGTATATACTATGTAATAAAACTGTTTATGGTATTGCACAACTACTAATTACCATATTAATAATTCACTTTTTACTCTTGTATAATATTATGTATTGTTTTATTTTGATTTGAAATTCATAAATCATAATAGAAAAGTCCAGATATTTATTTGATTTAAATAAAGAAAACATTTAAAACGACATTTGTAATTATTATAATAAATTATAGGGGCGGAGTGGCCGAGCGGACTAAGGCGTTGGTTCAAAAGCACACTGACGCCGGTTTCATAACTCGGCCATGGGTGGCATTTTTCTACGGGCAAGTCACGGTGTCCGGAGAACAAGTGTCGCCATCCCCCACCCGGGCATGGCAGATACCTACGGGTGCCCAAATCAAAAATACTGCCACAAACAAACACATACCCATGTCCCCCCTACCAACAAAAACCTACAAACAAAACAAAAATAGCTAATGGCCTAAGCTGCCGGGCTCAAGCTCAATAAAAAATAAATAAATAAATAAATAAATTATAAACACATACGACAACCTAAAGTTATTTAGTACTAACACCAATAAATATTTATTATTTGCTAAGCCCTTTTTTTCCAACATAAATCTTTTAATACAAATAATACATAGTGCAAGGTTTTATTTTTATTATTATTATCATTGATTATGTTTATTTAGTATTCATAATCAATGTTATTATTTACATTTTTGGCATCATACGAAAACTGTTAACTGTTAATAGTCAATTTTATTTTCATTTTTTTTGAAACCACTGCTTATTCATTTAATAATAAATAAACTTACTTGACTACACCATCAATAATAAAGTCTATGTCCAAATCTCCAGATAGTTTCTTAAATGCTTCAGATAATTCTTGTGAAATATCACTTGCTTCTATCTCTGCATTTGTAATCAGTCCTATTCCACCACCTTAAACACATTTTTATATTTTATTACATGTGTGTATTTAAAAATTAATATTTAGTTATTTATATCTTAATTAATCAGTTATCATAGATTTTTGAATTGTATATTTTCATATACATTTTATATGAGTATGGTAATTAGACTATAGTAGGTACTACTTGTTTCCTTTACTAAAAATGATGTTTTCTACTTACATCAATGATTTATCTAAATTACATAATATACTTTCAAGTTAGGTAATTAAATTAAAGAATTTGTTTTTATATTAATAATATTAGGGACCGGATATGTATGCAAATGCATAAACGTATTGGAATAAGGTTTTTGAAATCTGATGAGAATTGTTTCTGATTTAGATCATTTGTATTAAAATAATACAAATTGTATTTTGCATATTTCAACATTTTTATCTATTAAATGCATATTTGTAGTTTTATTGCATATTATATTTATAGCACATATATTTGTTCTTCATTGTATTTTCACGTTCACAGCCACCATAATATCGATAATATTACAATCATTCTTTAGTGCCAAAAATAAGATGACATACTCATATGCGACATATATATATTATATTATTATTATATTAATATGGATAAATTCGTTGTTCATATAATAGAATTCAAGTGTTCAACGGCTAATTTTTATAGATGGAGATAGAGAATGTTAATGGCGAAGAACTAGTGAAGATCACGAAATACTTTTTCACTTTTAAAAACTTTATTACTTAATTAATTAATAATTATTTTTAAATAATTTTCTTATAAATGTTTTTGATTCAATTTTAAGTGCATATTTTGTATATTACAGTATTTTTAGAAGCATTATTATTTGTGCAAATAAATCGGGTCCCTATTAAAAATATAAAAAAAATATATTTTAATTTAATTTAATTAATTCAATAATTTGACTTTTTCTGTCATGCAACAGAAAGAAAATATGCAAAAAAAAAAAAAAATTATAGGAATAATATTTTGAGATTAAATACTAGGGTTGGTCGCACACAATTTATGCTTAACGAGTATATAATTTCTAAATTTACAAATTCCTAATTTTCTCAAGATAGTATTGTAAACAACCTAAAAACTCTTAACGTAAGCCATTTAAAATATTAGGTTCTTAACTAGTCGTTGATACACATGTAAGTGTGCTCATCCAGATAACATTTTGAGCGTCAGCTATAAACATTCTATCAAATTAATCTCATAAAAATGAAAAAAAATATATGATATCGTCATTTGCCTTTCCTGAATAGTTATTGTTGGACAAAGTCAATGGTGTGAACACATTTTCATTTTGTTTTTATAAATTATTAAAATAGTACATAAAAATTATATTTTACTTTTAGTAAAGAGCAAAAGTATACATATTTCTATTTATGATTTTAAAATTTGATGTTCTAATTAGAATGAGCAATTAATAATGATAAAAAAGTAATGTGTACACTGAACACAGTGCAGCAATTGTGTAGTAAAACATATGTGTACCAACGACCGGTTAAAAGTAGATTAGAAGTTAAGAAGAAAATATTTCCAGAACTACCAATTATTAACTACAGTATAATGTTTAAACACAATAATCATAATAAGTTGTTTAGACTTTAGTATTTAAGATGTTAATTTGATTATTGGTGCGAAACAGACATAAGTAAGAAAATGTACCTATTTTTTTTCACAAGATACTTACTCCAGTAGATATAATGTTGGTATTGATAGGGTGATAATTTAGATACATTCAAATTGATAAATGATAATTATTACAAATTCCTATTCAACAACCAAGTAAGTAGTTTATTGTTTTGGAGCTTAGTTAACAATATTTTTTCTAGTCCCCACTGAATTTAACACTAGTGCAATGGAAACTAATCTACATTATCAAATTAGTTTTTTTTTACATAATACAACTCATACATTTGTTGAACTATGAGTTAATGCAACTAGAATTTCTTGTATTAGACATTTGCAAATATTACTTTATGAATCGGGTATTTTTACGCATTATAGTGAAACGCAAATATAGATTTAAGTTATCTACTTGTCTATTTAACAATGTCGTTACTATTTGTAATGGAGAAAATATATTGATAAGTTATCAAGTTAACCAAAAACATGATGTAAAATAATAATCAAATCGGTTAAAAAAAGGTTAAAGTTGTGAATAAATTTTGAATCAAAATAATATTTTTTGTAAACATTTTATTTTTATTTTTCATCAAATCTAAATGTGTGGGACCTACTTACTCTTTAAACTAAAAGCGGAAAAATAAAAATAATTAGAGTAAAATTTTGTAAATATTGAATTTGGGTAGGTATTATTTAGACCCTTCAAAATAATCATGTAATACAATTGGATGCGCATAACACAAGGTTAATACTACAAAAGAAAAATTAAAAAAAAAAAATAAATAAATAACTAGTATGGTCTACTTAGCTTAATTTTATATCATATACTTATTATGAGGGTTATGATGTTTATAACCTTTTAATATTTTTTCTTATAGTATTGCACTTTGCAAACCAAGTTATAAATTTGTTTCGTATAACATTGAATCAGATTCATTAAATTGAATTTTGTATATTATGAATAAATGATTAATTTGATGAAAAAGCCAATAAAATTACTTATTTAAATCAAAAAAACTAAAACTAAAAAAAAATTTATACGATATTATATAAACGCATAGGTAGGCATTGTTTCACAGATAACATAAACCAGAAAATATGAAAAGTGTAGTTTTTAATAACCTTATATTTACTATTATTTGCCTGTTTGTAAGATAGAGAGAAAGAATGCGCGTGTAGCTCTCTCTTAAAAAATCTTAACTTAGCTAATGTATGGTAAAAAGGTAGACTGCAGTGTTACTGCATTATGATTTTAGTCTTAAAACGAGTTTTATTCTAGCCAAAACTGTCCAAAGTTAAAGGTTCCAATGCGGCTTGACTACACAAATTTTTTTTAGAATTTGGGGAGGATGTATTTTGAACAGATGTTTTAGTACTAATATGTAAAGTACCAACGTGGAGTAAAAATTGGGTCTGAAAAAAATCTAAATTACATAATATATTGCAAGTGCAAGTTCATATATTTTCCATATTTGTATTTTTGAGTTAAAAATAAATGTTTATATTAATTTAAAGTATATTTTTAATTAATAATGCAATTTTAAAATGTCATATTTAATTTTTTATGGCATATTTGCATGCCTCTTTAGTGTTTTAAGATCATAAACATCCTAACCTTACTTATTATAATAAATAATTTATTAACATTTTTTAACACTTACTATTAATGAATTTTGACCACATAGAACCTTTATCAGACATAACAAGTGCATCTTTTACAAGATACATAAAATCATTATAAGACTTCGCATCATTATTAATAATATAAAATTCTCTTAATGCCTTCAATGTGTCAACAGGTTTCATTAAATCTTCCAGACTTGTACTAAACTCTATTAAGTTTAGAGTTACGTCATGCATCTTTGTACAAACTGCAATAATAATTAATATACATTTATTTATGTATTTCAAAATAACGCCAAAAAGGCCAACAGTCAAAGAAAAAAAAAAGACATTTTTTGAAATATTAAATTTGATATTCATACAAGAGCATAGCCAAGAGAATACCGGGCCACAGTTTCTCCTATTAAATTTTGATCAGATCACCCTTCTATACTCAATTATTTTTAGGTGTTGAATTGTGTACGATTGACAGAGATGTAATCTAATGAACACAGTTGTCTAGTAGAACCAATACAATAAAATATGGTTTATTTTCATACCTGAAGTTTATTTTTGAATATTTTTTAGCCATACAGCAATATACTTTTTACCAAAAGGTGATATCAATGACAATATAGGGAACATGTGTACTATTATATTATACATTGATTTTTAATTTTGCATGCTCACCCCATTTTAATATTTAAATTATGCATGCATTCAATTTCTGATTTTTGAAATTTTTATATGTATTTAAATACTATTTTTAGATACTTAAATATTATTCACAATATTTCATTTTAAGGAGTATTGAGTAGTGATATTATTAGTTTTACAAATATACTTTTTAAAGCAAATTATGAATCAAATGATTTTTCTGAAAAATTATCCAAAATTATAAAATTTAATTTTGTCCTAAAATTATTGGTGCAATAATAATCCATAAATATTTTATAATATTAAAAAATTATCTGAGTATACTTGACTAACTAGTAATTATTAATAATTTATACCGCATACTATTTTATAGTTACTGAGCTTATATCCATTTACAGAATATTTAATAGACTATTATCCTTAGTATTTAAAGTAGAATACCTCAGAAACTTTTGGCTCAAATTTTTGGTTACAATGCGTCAACATTTTCAGACAAATCTTCTAAATTCACTAAAATATATGCATAATTTATACATAAATATATGCTCTGTAAAATACTAAAATTATAACTGAACAGTTCTTGCTAATACAGTACAAGTCAGTCAGAGTTTTATTACATATTATTTTAAATACCTTTGAATACATTTAAATACAATATATCAAGGATTTATGTATGGAAATACCCAAGAGTTCAATGACCCTCAGTCTGTTGGAAAGTATTGTGCTCTTGTACGTCCAATTTTGGAATATGGAACACATATTATCAATCCACGTTAATAAATAAATTAGAAAAATTCTACAATAATTATTTGTAAACATTTTATTATAAATTAAAACTCAGTTTGCATTTGCATTTGAATATTATTTTAATATAAAATTAGGCAATTTCTTTAATATAAAGAAAATATATTTAGATATTTGCTTTATTTATAATCTTGTTAATAATAAAATAGATTGCTCGGAATTGTTAGGAGGTATATCTTTAAATTCTACACTAAGCCTCAAAAGAAAACGATAACTTTTTGTTCATTGTGAATGATGTGATTGGCGCGGTGAGAACTCTGGGTAGTTGGAGAGAATATGCAGTACTGATGGAAATCGATCAGTTGACTGATAATTCTCTTTTGAGACAGAGTATAAAAATAACTTTATTTTCATTGTTGAGTAAAAAGTACAGTAATTTTGGGGCCACTAAACAGAATGCTAATGAACTTGAATACAATTTTAATTGTTGACTTTTTTATCATAAACTAACACTATTCTCTGTTCCAAGAAAAAACAGAAAGATCTGTGCATCCCCTGCGCCACACTACTATCAAAACCGGTTTAGCTATGGCAGTGTGTCACGTTGGGATGCGCAGAAAATCCGATATTGGTTGGATCGTGGCATGTACTCTTGTGGAACAAAGTGTAATACTGTTCTAATTTATTTTATATATTATTTTACTGTATCTAATTAGATTAGTAAATATTTTAGCTTTATCATAATATTCTACATTTACTGTACTATTTTCTTATGAGGCGTAAAATATTATTATTACCATAAAAAAATAATGAATTTTAAGCTTGCTAACCATGGAGTTTAAATTAATAGTTAATTATAAGGGTGTTTTCAATGCTAAGGCCTAAATTTTACCCCACCCTTTAATAAAAAACTTTATGTATTTGTATTCATAACTACAGAGAATCATACAATATAACAAATAAAATATACTTCTATGACTAAAAACAAATTTAGGAATACCAATATCAGCGTTGAATCCATTTTTTAAAAGCTTATTAAAATCTTCTATCGGATTCAATGGTGTAATCATACATTGTTTTGAAACGTCAAATTCTTCATCGGGATCAACTTTTGTACTATTATTGTCTTCAACTAAGGAACTATTAAACAAACATAATTAATATATAATTTTAATTATTTATTGATTCAATTCTTAAAATTGACATTAAATACATACTTTTCAAATATTTCCTGTTTAATCGAAAATGTTGTTTTTAATTCATTTAAAGGTGGTTCATCATTTTCCACTGAAGTCTTAGAGTGGTTTATTAACTCGTTTGCAGCGTCCAATTCTTCATCATAACCAAAATGTATAGAATTAATATCTTCAGCTGAACCACTATTAATCAAACATAATTATTATATTATTTTAATTATTTGTTGATTCATTTCTTACAGTTGACAATTAATACATACTTCTCAAATATTTCCTGTTTAATAGAAAATGTTGTTTTTAATTCATTTAAAGGTGGTTCATCTTTTTCCACTAAGGTCTTAGGGTGATATATTAACTCGTTTGTAGCGTCCAATTCTTCATCATAACCAAAATGTATAGTATTAATATCTTCAGCTGAACCACTATTAATCAAACATAATTAATATATTATTTTAATTATTTGTTGATTCATTTCTTACAGTTGACATTAAATACATACTTATCAAATATTTCCTGTTTAATAGAAAATGTTGTTTTTAATTCATTTAAAGGTGGTTCATAATTTTCCACTAAGGTCTTAGGGTGATTTATTAACTCGTTTGCAGCGTCCAATTCTTCATCATAACCAAAATGTATAGTATTAATATCTTCAGCTGAACCACTATTAATCAAACATAATTAATATATTATTTTAATTATTTATTGATTCATTTCTTAGAATTTACATTAAATACATACTTATCAAATATTTCCTGTTTAATCGAAAATGTTGTTTTTAATTCATTTAAAGGTGGTTCATCATTTTCCACTAAGGTTTTAGGGTGATTTATTAACTCGTTTGTAGCGTCTAACTCTTCATCATAACCAAAATGCATAGAATTAATATCTTCAGCTGAACCACTATTAATCAAACATAATTAATATATTATTTTAATTATTTATTGATTCATTTCTTAGAATTTACATTAAATACATACTTATCAAATATTTCCTGTTTAATCGAAAATGTTGTTTTTAATTCATTTAAAGGTGGTTCATCATTTTCCACTAAGGTTTTAGGGTGATTTATTAACTCGTTTGTAGCGTCCAACTCTTCATCATAACCAAAATGTATAGTATTAATATCTTCAGCTGAACCACTATTAATCAAACATAATTAATATATTATTTTAATTATTTATTGATTCATTTCTTATAATTAATACATTGACTACCATGTGGCCGCCGCCGGTCATTTGTAAATTACAAATTGTATGCTTTTGCGACTGCCAGCGGCCACAGTTGATCATTACTACAACGCCACATGACGGACGGCGGCCATAAATGAATATGGTTTTATATTAACTTTTCCCCTTGTCGCTACAATAATGCACCAAAAAAGAGTTGTGGCGTAGTGCGAATCATGACAAAATTTTTGATGTACAAAATATATTTTTTAAATTTTTTTTTATATTTTTAAACTTTTTTCAAGTAAATAGTACAATATACAAATTTGGACACTTAAAATATACTTGGCGTTCAGATGTAGCATATCCTGTGACCGCCAGCGGCCGCATGGCAGTCAACATGTTAACATTAAATACATACTTTTCAAAGACTTCTTCTTTAATAGAAAATGTTTTTTTAAATTTATTTAAAGGTTGTTCATCATTTTCAATTAAGGTTTTAGGCCGGTTTATTAACTCGTTTGAGCCGTTCAATTCTTTGTCATAACCAAAATGTATAGTATTATTATCTTCAGCTGAAGAACTGTTAAACAAATATAATTATTAATATATTATTTTTATTAATTATTGATTCATTTCTTAGAATTAACATTAAATACATACTTTTCCAACACTTCTTGTTCCACAGAAGATGTTTTTCCTAATTCATTTAAAGGTGGTTGAGCCTTTTTGATAAGTCTTTTGCGGGATCTTCTTAACTCTCTTGAAACTTCCCTTTGTTCATCAGGATCCTTATATATAAGATTAGCTGCAGATGGAAAACTGTTAAACAAACATAATTAATATATTATTTTCATTATTTATTTATTTATTTCTTAGAATTAATATTCAAAGCATACTTTTCAAAAAATTCTGGTTTAAATGAAACTCTATTTAAAAAATCTTGTAAACGTGGTCCACCATTTTCCATCATGCGTCGATATTCAATTCGTTGTCTTTTTAAATATGGGATTTTCTTTGGAATTACTTTTGTTGATATTTGTTTAACAATACTATCAAACGTAAACTGTAATTGAGTATCATCTTGATATATTGGCACACCATATTTATTCCTTGAATACCAGTATCAATTAGTAACATAAATAAATCAATTATTAATAAATAATATTTCACGTTACCTATCACCTATATCTATGTCCATTGCATCTGTATGTGTAAGAGCAATATTTTCTTTTAAATGTGATTTAGTTGAGTCTAATGATGGAAACCCATACGTGTCGTTCTTTTCATCATCATATGGAAGATTGACATACACAAAAAACTTCAACAACAATGTGTTTTATAAGAATTATTAGAAAATAATATGTGTATATTTTAAAAATAAATGATTAAAAATTAAACAGTAGGCGTAGGTTCAGGGCCATAAGTTAATTTATTACATGGTATAAACGTTAAAATATACATTTTGATATACATACTTTTTCATTTTCTTCTTTTTGAGGAATAAGTACACCAATGTTTAGCAAATTTATATATAAATCAACTCTTCTAACAAGCATCACTTTTCTTTTTAAAACCATGTATTTGAAAACAGAATTAAATGCTTTTTTATCTGTCTACAAATAATAATAAATATATTAAATACATTGTAACAAAATACAATTATAGTTAATACTAGCTGTATTACTCGGGGTTCAGGAATAAATGAAACCTAGATGGGTAATCCATTTGTGGCAGATAGTAATAAACAGGGCACGGATTTTATAGGACTAAAAATAACTGAAATATGTGGTTATTCCATATTTGATATCTCTGGTGAATAAAACAATTTATGCATAGCTGCATCTGCTATTTTTATCGGTATCCTATAATAATTAACAAATGCTATAAAATCCGAGCCGTGGTAATAAGTAATATTTTTCTTAACTGAACCCATTGATGTATATTGTATAATATTGTATTATACAAGCGTATTATACGTCATGTATAAAAAAAAAAATCTGTGATAAATGGTAGATCAATAATATATGCAATATATAAAGTTTCAACTGATAACATTAATACAACGACGGAGCACGGCCACACAAGTTACATGGTTATTGGTAGGTTTTAGTCACAATCATTATATACAGATCAACACCAATGAACTATTCTATAGTCATAGATCTATCAACCCAAGTTCTATGATTCTAGTCGTAATCATTAATTGTAAATCATTCGTAAACAATATTCTGATATCTTACTGATAACTGATAAGCAGGGCTCAGAAGTTGTAGCACTAAAAATGTTACTTTTTAGCTCTTAAATATGCTCTCCAAAATATGAATTTAACTTGAAAAAAATTAAATGTAATTTTACAATTTTATCAAATTGTTGGGTCCATGGACGTCAGGGACTGTCTGAACTAGTTTAATTATAATCCTGATTAACAAATATATTAAATTACTTAAATATATTTGTAAAAGTGTACTTATAAGGTCTATTTATTTCCTAACCAAGTTAATCATTATTTTAATCATAATGTGATAATATCCTATATTTTGTATAAGATGTAGGTATATATTATGTGTATTATGAAAATATACCCAAAAATTGCGCTATAAAACCTAAATAACAAAAATAGCAATAAAAACAGTAAATATTCAAAAAAAATAGCAAAATAAAATTTTGTGTATGACATCAGAGAAGTGTGATACATTTTTGTATTTTACTTTGGATGTTCTAGGACGAAACAAGAAAAATATGCATTTGCTAGAACTTCCGAGCCCCTCTGATAAGTCATAAGCAGTGTTGGGAATTATCTAAACAATTTTATCTAGATAAAAATAATTAAATCATCTAATTATCTAATTATCTCATCTAGATAAATGTAATGGTTATCTGTGGTAATTTATCTAGATAAATAATATAATAAGAAGAAATTTTTAAATACTAAAATAGCCAATAATTTACGAGAACCGAGGAGTGATTCCAAATTCATTTAAATTATTGATCTTACATTCTTATTGCACACGGGTAGATATATATTTAACAATTATCTAAACTTCATATGATTTTTGTAAAATAATGTATTATACAAGTATAATACAATGTATAATACAAGTATTATGCAATTGAAAAATAAAATACGGTATTTTTACATTACTGACTGAACCAATTGCAGGCAAAAATAAATAAATATGCTGTTTATAAATATGCCAGGACAAAAACTGGTATTTATCCGTTTTACTTAAAAACTAAAAAAATTATTAAAATTGATAAGATTAATGAAAATAAAATGTTGAAAAGTCAAAACTGTCAGAAAAATAAGCTCCATAAAATAGATCTTTTCAATTGTTTCAAAAATAACAAAAATATAAAATGAAAAAATAAATATTTTAACTTTTTTACCCATAAATTTAATTTAAAAATAAAATATTTGGAGTCCTTGTCTCTGTGAGCTTAATAAAAAAAACTTCTAGGGACACCTGTACATATTATAATCGATTTACCTATCATTTCCATTTCGCTTCAGTTAAAATATTCTCAATCATTGTTTTTTGTCAAATTAGGTTAATGTTGGGTTACTGAGAATTATTAAAAAATATTAATTGGAAAGACTAGAGTTTCTGATAGATTTCATTAGACTTTAAACTTGCATTATTATAATATGTTAAATAGTCCTATAAATTTTATCTTTAACAGCAACTATGTTAAATATTTCAATTTCTGTACTGATCCTTTGCGTTCACTAAACATTGAGTATATAATAATAACAACATACTAGTGTATTATTAACATAATAAATTGTATAATTTATATTCTACAATTATGTAAGTAATTTAGTTTAACTTGTTTTATTTGAAACTGCTAGCTCTGTATTTTTACCGTGTAGGGTGAATAAATGAAAATAATTCAAGAAAACTAAATAAAGTAAAAAAAGTAAATATTAATTAATAATATTTCGATTTACTTTATGGGGTTGAAAAATATATGATACTCCACCCAATAAAAATTTTAATTGTTCATCTGAAATTTGTACATATCCCAGTACTTGTAAACTTCTTTGACCAGCTACTATATAAGTACACTCATCTGTATCTAAATCTATAAAAAAAAATATAGTTTATAATATATTAGTATACTACATAGCAATTTTAATTAAATTTAAAGTTGTTGTGATGCACTTACCGATGGCTGGTATAATATGATCACCAAAGTTAAAATTACCCATCGGCAAGTCATTATCGACTTCCATTTCTTCACCATTGCCATCAGAATGTTTCTTCTTTTCTGTTGTTAAGTCTTGTGTATCATAGTTCTTACTGAATAACCAATTAGAGCTTTTAGTGGTTATATCTATCTGTTATATTTAAACAAATGTTTAAACATTTTAATAATTTGTATTATCTTGAGATAATATAAATTAACAAAATTAAATATTTATAAGACACAAGAGATTTGTAAATACCTTTTGATACCCAAAAACTTTAATATCAAAAACCTCCTTAAAGCTTAAAGGGGCATTCCATGATCTTGCAATAACTTCTTTTTGTTTATAGTAACTTATTTTCGGTTGAACTGAATCAAAATTAACAGCGATTGCCTAAAAAATAAAATAGTTAATTAAAACCATATGGTTTGGATTATTTTTTTTTCTTATAAAATGATCTTAATTATCTGATTTTACACCAAGTTAAAATCATAAGTTTAAGTACCGGCAATCTGGGTGAGTTTTTTATTAATCATTTCAATATATATCACCGACATTTAGTAATAAGCAAATGTGTTTATGATACAAAAAATTCTTACAAATCAGTCAATTTTTCTTCACAAATAAAAAAAAATTAATGATTTTAGTATATTGTTAAAATCTTATAAATTTATAAAGCTCTGTTCAACAAGTTTAAGATGTATACGAACAACAGGTTCTATTTAGGGGATTCGATACCGTGATTTTCTGTTTTTGTCTAATACACACGCGACATAATATTTTAGACTAATTCTTTGTGAAACATACCAATTGATTTAATGAAGCAATAAGAATTCTAAAAACAGATTTGAATTTGTCGTTAAGTCTTCTTGAAATCAATTTCCCCACATTTTTGATCTTAACTTCTCCAAAAATTAAAATACGACAATTTTTAAATACTCCTTTTTAATATGAAATTTCTAGGAATCAGGGGGATAATATCAAATATGTGTGAAAGTCGATTTCAACTAGACTTAACGATAAATTCAAATCTGTTTTCATAATTCCTATCACTTCAATAAATCAATTGGAATGTTTGGCAAAAAACAAGTCTAAAATATTATGTTGCGCGTGTGTTAGACAAAAACAGAAAATCTCTGTATAGAATCCCTATAAGACAATTTAGTCATAACAATTTCTATTAAACAATGGTAATTTTTCTAATGAAAAATACATTTTGGACATAGGCTATCAATTTTAAGAATTTAGATGTTTCCTAGAGAATGTATTAATTTCTTGAACTATTATTATTGCTGGGAACATCAATTAATGTATAATTATTATGATATACAAAATATTATACATTAAACATAATACAATTATATTACCTTAGTTTTCTTAAGAAATGCATCGGACGCACAATTGAGTGATATAGCTTCATAATCTGTACCTCTGAAATCATAATTAACTTTAAATAAGATTTACTTAGTGTTTAATTAAAGGTAATATTATAGAATATAGATAATCGTCAATTCTCAGGCAGATATTTTTTAGATATCCTGTGCAACAATGATTTTTATTTAAAGGAATACAAGAAAATAATACAATATTAATTGTACGCAAAAACTAATAAAAAGTAATCTACAAATCACAATAATAAACTCTAATGGGTAGCAAATAACAAATAAAATTACCAAAAGTGGCATTTGGGCTATAGCTCACTGTGATATTTCATGTTGAGTATAGTATTTTACAATTCTTCACCAGATTACTTTGTTTTATCAATAGACCACATAGTTTTAAACAAAATATATTGGTATAATAATTATCTGGTTTTGCATAGAAGACAAATCATTGTGATATAGTGTTAAAATTTAATATTTCTATATTTAATATGGATGAGATTGTAAAAGTATAATATTTTGTAAAACAAATCTGAAAAAAATGCTTTTCACACAGGTAATAACATTTTTTTTTTTAAATTGATATGTTTTTCCATATTATATTATAATATAATTGATATAGGTACACTGATAGAAACTTGCTTGTATATAGTATACTAGCTGATCCCTTTCAATTTTTTTACTATTTTATCACAACAAAACTAGTTTTTTTATAAGATCTCAGTTTAAAATACTATTGTAATGGTTTTCACTTTCATACTGAAGTACTTACAGTATGGTTAAACGAAGGTTTTCTACTTTTAAGCACTTCGCTATTGTATCTGTATTATGAAATGAGATATCAGTTGCAAGATTTGAAAACATAACAATCTGAAGGCCAGCGAAGACTTTATTTCTGAAAAATGAATAATTATTATGAAATTAGTATCATGGAATTAGTTATCACTAGGGCTGGGATTTTAATGCCATAAAAAAACCCGAAAAATACCCTAAAAAAAAGCTTTTATGATCTAAACATTTTTTTTTTTTTAATAATTTTAGTATAAATTACCATAAAAAGTTTAAAAAAATGCATTACAAAAATCTATTACAAGTGCAAGCTGTCAATACATAGTTTTAGTATAAATCTAAAAAAAAAGTTAATCTGTTATATTTATTTAAAAACCATGTTGGTGTAAAAATCTTAAAATAAAATTTCAAATTCATACTTGGTTTCCAAAAACTCAAAAAATGCTCCAAAAACTCTAAAATGCCATAAAAAATTAAGAAAATGACCTAAAAACTAAAAAATTCCAAAAAATGCGAAAAAATGCAAAATAAACTTTCTTATTCTCATTCAAATGTGTATAAAACAAAATTGTGACAAGACGAGCATTGCACAGTAAGCTTAGGAAAACAATGCAAAGTGCATCGAAATCCCAGCCCTAGTTATCACAATAAGAATTTAAACTGTGATACTTTAACAAATTCAAGGAAATTAAAAATTAAAAAATGTATAATAGGCAAAAGTTGTTGATTTTTAAAGTTTGGAAATAACATAATTGACTATTTATGGTAGAAAGTTGGAGCTTATATAAATATTTTTGTTTTGAAACAAATAAAAAGTATTCATTACTTAAATTATTTGTTCTGGAGCAAAAATAAAATTGTAGTTTACATTTATGGAGAAATTAGTAACATGGGAATTAATTCAATACACATAATTTAATATTAACTGTTTACTTGTCAGTAATATACATTTATAATCAAATCAAAATATAATTTATAGTTGTACATTGTTTTATAATAGTGTAATATACGTACTCAGTTTCATTTTTAAGAAAATCAGAAGCAAGAACAAAAGTGCTAATCCAATCTGAAGGTGTTACATTTGTAGGAGATAAACTATTAACACGATTAAATAAATCCCAAGTCGGTATACCTAAACCAGCAAAAGTTTCTATACCGCCATAACAACTTCCTTCTGATGAGAGATGATTAATTGTATGAGATGACCCAAACAATATTATTGCCAAATGATCTTCACTTTCAGTTAATATCTAAAATATAATATGTAATATTAACATTATATATACCTAATATATAATTTATATTTTATAAAAATGTTATGATAATATAGATTATTGGTTACTTTTCTCTTTAAAATCATAGAAGCGCACTTAATAGATTTTTCAAAATATGTTTTTCCATCTGAACCTCGCTTTTTAGAATTTTTTCCGACGTCAATTGCAAGTATTATTGCCTCCTATAATACAAAATATTATAATTATTAATAAATAATAATCATGAAATATACAAAGATACATAATAATAATCTTGTTGTACAGTTATGTACTACGCAAAAATAGTGCAATATATGTGCCTATTATTGATCATGAACAACATAATATGAAGGTTAGGTTAACCTATCTTGAACCATTAGCAATATTTTTAAATTTCTCCACATAACAATATGTTATTACTTATTATATTGATATTAATTGGATAACAGAATTCAGCTAGGGGCATTAATGGGATATTCCTATTAACAAAGATGGGCATTAAATAGTTAAAAAGCTAAGGTTAAGTTAAAAAGTTATATTTTTTTAACTATTTAACTTAACTAGTTTAATTGGCATTTTAAATTAACTTTCCTCGGTTAATATTTTAAAAATGTAATATAGTATAATGTAATGTAATAAATGTATTAAGTTAAGCCATTTGGACAATTTTGGTTTTTAGGGTTTTATGCATACCTATTAATACTAAAATAAAAATAAAAATAATCCAATACCTACTATAATAATACAAACATATCTGTTATTTTTATTGATAAAATAATTTTGTAAATAGATACATATTTTAGTATATTAGAAATGTATGCATGATATTTTAAGTCTTTAAATTGCTATTTGATATAAAAATATTAATATTTGTTAAATTATTAATTATTGGGATGCGTTGGTATAGTTCAAATATTTAATAACCATGTGAAGTAATATAGGTACATACACTCACATTGTACATTATGTTGAAAGTTCAATACAATTGCTTATTATAATTTAGGAAATAACGCAGTCACTGTTTAAGTGATAAATATACAAATTAAAAAAAGTAGATTAACTTTTTCTAAAATGAGTGAAGTTAATATTTTTTTCCATATTAACTTTTAACTTATTGAACTTGAGCCCTCTTAACTTAATTTAAGTTAATTATTTTCATTAACCTGTCCACTGTTGCATATTAATGCACAATATTAACTAGGTGGGTATCCCAAGAATAGCAGAGATGTGAAATATAGGACATTTAAGAACCTTAATTTTAATCTACAAACTTCAGATATGAATGTCTTAGAATGTCCAATTTAAAAAAATTTTTCTATAGAACATAATTCAATAGCGAGATTAATTGATCAGTTATGTTCAATTAATGTACCTACACCTACCTATCCTAAGAAATTATATTTACCAAAACCAGACTCTGGCCAAATATTGTATGTCCTGCATTCCTCCTATTCATATTGCTTTTCCATGAAGGACACCTAGGTATCTCTGCACTTTTCACAATACTAGCAAGATCTGTGCCGTTCACAATTCTCTTATCACTCGATCCATCCAACTTCCCACACTTTTATCATTTCTAAGTTCTATTCATTTTTCCTTCACTCTCAACAAAAATGCATTATTCTTCAGTAATGTTCTTCTTCAATCACACAGGTATTCCAATCCATTAAACAATGTTTTTGCAAAAATATTCTTACTTCGCAAATGGATTGAGACAAATATTAAAAGACTAAATAAAAAATAAAATTTGCTAAATACCTAATCAAAATTTTAAAATTACCTATTTAAATTGAAACGTCATGTAAAAAGTAATGTAGTATGTTTACCGCTTTATTAAAATGTTTTATATTCCATAACTAAAAATATAGACAGCCCTAAGAGAACATAGTAAATAAGTAAACAAATCGAGTATTTAAAACCATTGCCCCGTGCCCTAGAGTCAACAGGTCATCAACAGATTACCTACTATAAACATATTTGACTCTGTAATTATGTACCTACCAGTAATATATAAAATTAATAAATTCGAATACCTTTCTCTCGAGCTTTTTCTCGACCAAATGCTCCGCCATTGTAAATTAGTGTGTATAGAACTTCAATACACCGGGTCTCCACTTGGGTGCGGTATTTGCGGTAACTTCCAATGTAGGTTCTTGAGTACTTTACCTCACGAGATACCTATACAGTGTCCGTATACCTTCTATATTAGGTATGACAGGTGGTTCAAGTGAAACGTAGCGGGCGAGTCAGCAGTGAGAAATACGAAACACTTTCAGGATACCGTGCATTGTTGAGCTAGTGGCGGACGGCGGTGGAGTGGTTCGATGACGCAATACTGGCCACCGGAGTCCGGACGGCGCACTCGGCGTGTTTAATGGCGTCGGCAATCAGCACACCCGAAAATAGCGTAATGGCGGCGGTGCGGATACCGTGTGAATCGAGTGACGAGATAAACCGTAACTATTGTCGTCTATATTATAACCGTACAATCGATTCCGAAACCACAATAATATGACCAGCGATCGCGGACCGTCAACAACCGGTGACGCGAGAGGACTGAGCGGAGAGCGCGTCTTCCGCTTTTCCGAAATCTATGAATATCGCTCTCCTCGCCCCCCGTACCGTAGAGGACAAACAGCCGGGTAGCGGCGGTGGCGAGTGACCAATCACCGACAGCCACCGGGCCGACGAGACGCCCTGAGCGAGATGAACGGCAACGGATCGACAGAGAAACGGAGCACTGGAAGAAAAAAATATTTACATTCCCACAGCCGAAACCGTAGACCTAAAAAGTAGGTCAGTGCTCGTCGAGTCATGCGTAGACAATAATTAATATATTATTAACATTTGAATCGAATCGTTTTCTTTTCCATGAGCGTGTGGCGGCCCCCCGAGCACAATATTATAACCACCTCACTCGCGGCCGCCGTCAACAGTTGTCTGCGCATGTCTCTTGAGCGCAATCGATACAGCTTTCAATAGGGCGGCGTCGCATACAGAACCGTACGAAAACAGTCGTGTACTTGGTTAGCCGAGGGTGGAGGGGGGGGGTAGGTCGAAAATGAATCCGACTCGTGTGTACAGGGTGTGACGGAAGGACCTGACAAACAAAAGACGAAAGATTGTCTCTGGTGAAATGCGCGTCCCTACGTTTGTGATAAATCGTGAAAATTATTAGGGTTGGTAGATAATTTGAAATTTACATACTCGTGTCTGAAAATTCAGAAGAATATTTTGAAAAAAACCGGACTCACGCACGAAGGGATCCGTACCATTGTCTATAATGTATTCTGACAGATTTTTAGTATTTTTTGTTATAGCGACAACACAAATACATCATCTACGAAAATTTCAACTGTCTAAATTTCACTGTTCATGGCCTGGTAATAGGGTCTCGTTTTACTGTGCGGAACTCTAAAGAGGTACGGAAGTTTCAAATTAATTTAGTCCGAACAAAATATCGGTAAAATTACAAAACGCATAAACTACTTGACTCGAATAAACGTATTTGCCATCAAAATGTTTCTAAAAATTAGATTTATGCGGATTGGCTTGAATTTTTGATTTCCGTATTAAAAAATAAAAACCTATACTGTACTTGTAGCACTAATAATAATTATTAGGTGTATACCTAAGGTGTAAATTTGAATAAAAAAATAATTAAAATATTGATTAGAACAAATAAGTTCTTTGTCGTTCTGGACTCTGGTATACCTAGTATACGTATATATATATATATATATATATATATTATATATACGTCTTGTATAAATTATAAGTTGTAATTTATAACCAATAAGACTTTACTACTATATGTCTATATAATGTAACTAATAACTATACCTACCTATGTGCTACCTAGGTAGCTGTTATAATATTATCAGTTACGTGTTTTAGAATTCTTTTTTTTACAGAAATGGTAATTTTTTCACGATTGAAATGCATTTCGTCGTTTATTATAATATTATCATAATATCGTCAAGAGTTTCCTACTTGGTATGATGCACCGATATAATATATTATATAACACAATAGTCACAGCTATACAGACCAAGTGGTTCTCAACCAAGTGGTTCTCAAAAAGCTTATTACGGCGACGTATGAGGTGTACCTATATCCAAAACAATAATTATTTATTTATATTGTATATAATATTATGTACAGAGTATGCTGCAAATATATGACATTATTATGGCGGTATGACGTGATTGTTAAAAATCACAGATGCAAAAAAATAATTGTTTAAACAATCTCATTCTCAATTTTCATATAGGTATAGGTTACCTACAATTATTACTTTTTCAAAAATTAAATGTATTTGTTACACCTAAGTGTTTCGCCATTTTTATGGATCAAAATCATTTATAGGGAGTCGTCGTAAAAAAAGTTTGAGAAACGCCGAGATAGACGCCAACGACGTGCACGTCCGCCATAATATTCTGTCGCACGTTTAGCCGACTTGATGAGTATATCGAAGCCGGGCAGCCATTTTATGTCAAGAGGAAAAAATACGATTGATTAATACGTAATGACCTCTATATAACCTTCATCGAATACAATTTTGTTTTACGGTAACAACCTTAAATCATAATATTATACCATGGATGGAGCTACGGCGTATTATATCCATACAACAAAAAAATGTTGCCAACATCGGCCACGAGTCTCTCGATTACGTGCTTGATCTGCGCACGCTCAAAGTTACTCGTAGCATATTATAATACGCTCGTCGTTCGGATTATTAATATTATATAATCTATGATCATAAAATACAGCCAGCCATAGGGGTCAGAAACCCGGGGCCCTCATTGTAATCGTATGTGGTACACGAGTAAAATGTATAATAATATTACAAATTACAAAATATTATTTGTATATATGCACATCACGAATTAAGATATTATCAATTGGAAAACTGTGGACTTTAAGTTAAAATAGTACCTACCTTGTTAAATTAGTAAGCCTAACATCAAACGCTAGTGGTTAATTTTTACAGCCGTTTTATTTTGTCACTTTCTAAATCCATTTGAAAGCCGTGTATTATATAGCGCGACGAACAACTAAACGTAGCTAAAAGTAACAAAAAAGTCCTAAGATTAATTAATTTAAAATTAATACTTTTACATCGAGCCATAATTAATACATTTTCTAGACAACTAAGTTTTTCGAGAACTGAATTGTGAAAAAATAGACGATAGTATAAAATTGTTATGATTACATTATAATAACAAAAAATTCAGATATTATATAGGTATACGGCTAAAATCATTTGGCAAAATGTGTTCGTCCAATACATTATGAAATTTCATCTATTCTGTGTTATGTAGGTATATCGATCATCACTTATCATCAAATAAACGTATAATGTTATCAATAGGTATACCGTACACCTATATAGTACCTATAATTTAAGTTATCATGGTATTTTATGAAAACATTGTGAAGAATAGCGGACGTGCGCATTAGAGCTGTACCTATAGAGAGTCGGCTATCTATAATAGTATAGGTATTGATTCTTAATTTCATTTATCTGTGGTACGAATTTAAATATTTCCACTAATATAGGGTGACCATACGCAGTGCCAGATTTACCTCTTCAGCCGCCCTAGGCTATTAGGAAAATGCCGCCTCAAAATCATACAATCATTTTTTTAAAACCAATATGAGCTTCATATAAGTGTTAATTATTAAATTATTAAAACATATTTAATTTTAAAATACAAATACAAAAATACAAAAGTACAGTGATTACTTTAAAAAAACTTTCTTCGTGCCTTTTGTTGGGCGAATGTATCGATTAGATCGTCGAAATTTAGGGCTGTCAATATTTCAGCCTCAATGTTGAGAAACATCAAACTATTTGAACGTGTTTCTAATGTCGCCGACCTTAAACAATTTTCTATAAGTTTTGAACATTAAAAGCTACGCTCGGCACTGCAATTTGTAACAGGCATGCGATTGAATAATCTATACGAGATGTCTATGTTTGGAAAAACAGATGTCAGATCATGATCACGTTTGTGTTGGAGTTATGGTTATCGTAAGTTGACGTCGACGGACGACGGTCGACGACAAACAAAAATTTAAAAACAAAATAATTCCCAGAATAATAATAAATTAATAACGTTCGATTCCTATAAAATACTAAAAATAGTACTTTTGATTAGAGACGTTGGATTTATATGTCCCAACGGTCGACGTGGCCAGGAAAGCGATAATAAAAGAGTAAAATAATTTTTTGTCTGTTTATAGAGATGAAAAAAGAGAAAAAATTTGCCGCCCTAGGCTACAGCCTAGTTAGCCTAATGGTAAATCCGGCACTGACCATACGTCCTGTTTTATACAGGATTGACCTTTATTTCAGCGTTGTGTCCTGTTGTCCTGGCAAATTTTTTTTGTCCGGACGTTTTTCGTCCCGTAATTTAAAATGTGTCCCGTCTATTCAATTTTTATAAAAGGTTTTTCGTCAGTCAGCCGTGTTTTTGGAACTAAAAAAAAAGTTTTTACTCACAGCCGCAGCTGTCACGTATAAATACGGTCAATGTAAGGACGGACGCGAGCAGCGTTATAAATCGAGCATAATTTTATTTCGTTTCATTTCATTTAAATAATAGTAATAATAAGAACATAATAGCTGGTATATAATATTATAAAATAATGGAACAACGAGCGAAGAGCGCACAGCCGATAACAGACCAGCCTTGACCTTTCGGCGGCCTGCGCGCCTGGATGTCGGAGCTAGGAGGGGACTACGTTGCCGCTAGAAACGAGGCATGTGGCAGTCGTAATCAATTTTTTTTTTATTGTAAAACATGTCAACTTTGTTCCAATAATACCTACGGCTTACAGAATGGTTTTAAAACAAAATACCTTAATTAAATGTTGTAGAGAAGAGATATGCCGGGTAACGTATTAGACTCGATTTTCGATATTTCATTCTCGAAATCGATAATATCGTTTTGTGTTTTCAGTATTTTCACTTTTTTACTTAATTTGTGAATAATTGGTATACAAAATTAAAATAACAAGTATGGAGTGTTATACGTCACCCGATATAACTCTCTTCTACAAA